CAGACAACCCCGTAACAATATGCGTTTTGTACTGCTGTTACACAGCACAAAACGCATAATAATGGAGTTGCAGTCTGATAGTACAGCCAATGTCAGTAATGTTGGAGCCACTGTTTCATGTGAGGGAAGGCAGTGCATGTCGTAGATGTTAAACAACAGCTTGCTTCGATAGCTCCAAACCTTTGTCTACATCAGAAAACTTTACAAAAATATAATAGCCCATCGAATAGTACACAGAGCAGATGGTATCCACTGATAATGTCACTGTTGTGCACCATTCATTGGGCTCGGGTTGTTGGTCTGAGCGCACAGCATTGGCTTAAGATCATCCAAATAACTCCAACTTGGGCAATATAACCCTTATTTGCAAAGAACAAGAAAACACATCGCGTACTCGATACTCGACAAACAAGGTATCGCCTGTCAAAAGACTACTTTGAAACATTAAAGCATCAAAAGCATAAGAAATGTCAAGAAAGAATAATTGGCCAATGCACGTGCTTCCCATGCAAAGATGTTTTTTTTGCATAGCTCCCCGCAGATTTTTGTCATTAACAGCACTTTTTTCCAGCAGATGCTTCTAGCTAAGAGAATTTCAGACTGGCCTCCAGGACTGCGGGAAATATCCCTTCAAAATCCCAGTCTTCTTGCTTCTCAGGTTTCCGAGTTAGCAAATTACACGAAAAAAATCTTTCATGGGGCAATACATGGGAATGACTCATGCCCGGAGGCTGGGTATGAGCTAAATGAGACCTAGGTGGACGGGGGATGTCCTTTTAAAATTGCAGTCTTCTAGTTTTTCAAATCCTCAAGTTAGCGACTTACCCGAAAAAAATTTTGACGGGCCCGTACGTTGGTACCACGCTCACCCGGAGTTCATTAGTATGAGCTCATCAGTACGTACTTGGACGGAGAACGTCCACTTAAAATTTCAGCCTTCCAGCTTTTCTGGTTCCCGAGTTAGCAGCTTACCCATAAAAAATTTTGGCGGGCTCGTAAATGGGTACCATGCGATAAGGACGCCCATTTTGGAGACTGGTGCCCGTACCTGCGTGTAGATTAAGTTCCCAAAGTTTCAGCCCTGTAGCTCTAAAGTCGTGAGATAAAAAATCGTACAGACGCACACACAATCGTATAGACGCACACACCTCGTCAATGTGCGTTTTCTGCATTGCATCAAAAAGCACATAAAAATAAAATCATTAGTGACACCCATCAAGGTTGCTGAAGCGCTTTCGCGCAAACCTTGAGACTGCCTAATCATCATATAAGTGGGTGGCTGTCGTGAAAAGAGTTGCCGACGGTTTTGCAGCTTCGGATTTCCCGTGTACGCGAGGCGTAAGCGTACAAGGTGCGCTAGCATTTTTTCAGAACTTATGCTTACTTGCCTGTCTGATTAAATTGAGGCAAAAGGAAGATGAAAGCGCTGCAATTTGAATATTTGGCGCACGAGTGCGCAAAGCATATGCGTAAGCGAGAACTCATTATGCGTTTTTGCATATATGCAAACGCAAAAACACATATTGGCAAGAGTGTCTATCTGTGTCCGCGTGTTCGCACTTTTTGTCACCCACTTTCAACTCGAGGACCAGAAAAGCTGGAATGCTGGGACTTGGGGAGTATGTGCCCACACCATGTGACCATCTCGTTTTAATATCATCATCCGCGTCAGCTTGAGTCTTACGTACATACGCCTTAAAAAAATATGCAAATTTTTTGGTGG